GATTTTTGTTCGACTTTATGAGATTTTTTAAGAGCACCGAAACTACAAAATATGACAAATCAATGTATATCTCTGTCTTTTTGTCGAAAATATCCATGTATTATTGTAGAATGATTGACTAGCCTTCATTCATGCAATCATATAGTCTGCAAATAACTATTATCTTATTCATCTTAATTTTTTTCTAATCACTTTTAGTGGCGCAATTTTTACTCCAAAAGCTGGTGCGTAGGCTTCCATTAAATGCTGATTATCTCAAAAACGAGCTCGGGACACCCTATTTTTCTTTCCAGATTTGGAATCAGCATTAAATTTCAATTCGGAAAATCGAAGTTTTAAAAAAAGCTTAAATCAATTTCCAAAAGTAGGCAGTCACCTTAACGTTAAATTTTCGTGGGTTTTCAACATATTGTTTGCAAAACACTAGAACAACAGTTTATAACCCCAAACAACTTGTATATTGCGGTAATTTTAATTCATATTGCATATTGCAACTTTTCCAGACTCGGGTACCCTGTGGTATTTTGTTTAAAATCTTTAAGTTAGAATTTCTAGAAGTCTCACCAATGGAATTTTCTGGAACTTTCAATATGCTACTAAGGTTACCTCAAACTGTCAATTGTGGGTAAAATAAATTCTGTTGCAATTAGTTCGATCTTGAACCACAGATTGACTGGACTATAAGGAGGCTAACTAAACACAGAACACAGGATTCCCACAGAAACCTTACAATGATCGAAAGCATATAGTGGGCACCCTGTGGTAAAGCCACTGTGATGAACCAAGTAAAGAAGCCATTGCTGGCAGTTTTGAAGATCGTCTTTGAAGCGTATTTTTCCCCTAAAAAATGGGATCAGGTAGGTAAAAGAAGTCCTAGTATTCCATGGTCATTCATGGATTATTTCTTTCTTGTAAGATTCAAGTACTTAGGTTAATTTAATTAATTTTGATGAGCCGTTCATGCATTTTTATTTAATCCTTTTGTTCCATAGCTTTCTCTATTTGTTGGGTCGAATATAGCTGAAAATGGTTTAAATGTATAAAATAGAACTGCTTTTACATGGCTCATATGGTTTCCTTTTAAGCTTAAAGTTATCACTGAATATTCATATAATGAAAAAGCGTAGATGTTTGAGCAAGAGTAGACTTACGGGAGGGGTTGAACTCAGATGTACGTAAGCTTATAGTAATTGAACTTTTAGTAGTTAATTTATTATAAATTTCTATCTTGTGTTTTGTCTTCCGGGCCAATCAACTGAAGATTCAGTAGAAGGTAAGTAAGGATTTTCAGGACTTGAGTACTAAATGAGATATTTCTGATTTCATTCACAATAAAGCTGTGAAAATACACCACCAAAGATGCCTTTCAACGTGAAAATTGCGGTATCTTTTTCGGTAGGCTTGCCTTATATATTTTTATTTTCGGGCATATCAACACGGAACCTTCGAAATATGATTTTAAAAAATGCAAAGAAATTGTTCTTTTTTAGTTGTAGAGCAAAAATCGCTATAAGTTGCTATAAATCGTTAAAAATCCAATATTTAAATATTAATTACTCCTCTGAAGTTTCTTGGAATTTCTTTAGGTTTTTCTTGGAATTCACAAAACTCTACACGTGTTCAAGAACAAACGTTTATATGGTCACGCAATGTAGATCGGTTTCACTGACTTCGTCTTTTATTGAAGACGATTGAATAAAAAGAGGTCAAAACAGTGTATCTTTACTAAAATTTTGTTTCATATGATGTGTGCTCATTATTTAGAAAAATAATAGAAAAATAGTCTACTTCTACGTCCATAACTTTTTGAAGATAAACAATGCTTTTATAATTTCTCAGTATGGTGTTTTGGCTTTTATCACTAAAGGCGCTGAAATACGAGACACTTAAACGTCCAACTTGTCGCGCAACATTGTTGCGGTGCAAGTTCGAAAACAATGTTGCTCGTTTTACATCCTATCTATCCAACTTGTCACGCAACAAAGTCTTTTGTTGCAAGTTGGGACTATCACGGTGATATTCTGCACGCTGATTGGCTACAAGCCACATAATTTAAGATGGCGGCCGCTTCTGCACATAAAATGTTGCGTGACAAGTTGGAGGAGTGATGAAAAACGAGCAACAAATCGCAAATTTGTTGCAGAAAATTGATCTACGTTCTACTTTTCGCAACAAGTTTTCCCTTAATGCGTTTTAATTGATTTTAATTTAAATAGATTCTTATCAAGCTGAGGTTTCATTGGAGGCTTTGGCTTACAAATCTTCTCCGTACGGTAAGAAAAAACACTCCGTTTAATCATACTAATTAATTTCTTAGTGTAGAAGGAAAAAACCTGATGAAACTTGATACCTGACTTGTGAATAAAAATACATGATAAGTTAGTATTGTACTATAATATTTATATTGTAAAAAAAATCCTAATTTATTTGGTAATATATAATTAAGGTAGATAAATGCGTTACGTTGAACAGATTTTAGATATAGATAAGGTGTGAGTGCCAATGTATCATCATCATCATCATTATAATCGTTATTATCCATCAAACAGCATCATATTCTAATACATCTAATGGTTTCATTTTAATGATTGTATCATCATCGTCTTGGCCTGTTATCATCATCATCAACATCATGGCCACCACCATCATCATTATCATCAGCACCATCATCGTCATCATGACCATCACATCATCAGCAGCATCGTCATCGTCATCATGGCCATCACATCAGCATTATCTTCATCATCATCTTCAACATCATGACCATCATCGTCATTATCATCATGACCATCAACATTATCATAGTTATTATCATGGTCATGATCGTAATGCAATGTAAGCAGCATATTCTTTTTAATTTACAGATGCATATGAATTACAATCGATGTAATAGTAACGGTTTCATTACTGTATCATCTTCGTCTTAGCCTGTTATCATTATCAACATTATTATCATCATCATAGTGATTATCATAATAAACAACTTTTTTTTCCTAAAGATGACTTTAGAGAACTACGACCTGCATATCTTGACAAATTTATTGCTGAGCAGCTTCAACCAGATGAAGAATTTCATAGCTTATTTTACAATGCTTTGGACAAACTATGTCGCTACCTTCACCAATATATGCGACCGCCAACTGTAAAAAGGCTTTTAAAGGTAAATATATTTTCATTTATCAAACATTGCGATAGAAACTGTGTTTATGAAAATTAGTATTGTGATATTACTACCAATTTTACCAATAGGTTTTGTCACTTTGCCATAATTATCGTCATCAGCACCATCATTTTCGTCATCATGACAGTCATGATTATTATGACAATCATCATCGTCAGCAGCAGCACAATCATCATCATGAGAAAATATGAGCAAACAGCATAGAGCGCGCAGCGCACAAACGATCAAATGAATGGTTCTAAAAATAGCATCGAAGAGTACTCATGATCGGGCGTGGGGGTTCATTCTCTTAGTTTATCTTCTCTTGAACCAAAACAATGACATACAATAAAGACATCAAGTCGACTAACGTACACCCAACGTGTCTCCTATTAGCTTCCATTTTTCTGAATGAAAAAAGCAATAAATGACATTTCTTGCTCTCAGAAATGGATGCTGTTACATGATCAAACAAATCATGTTTTTTTACCTACACAGGGAGGATCGATGGGTAAAGGAACTGCATTAAAAGGCAGGTCAGATTTAGACTGCATCCTTGTCATGAATGGTGTCAGAGATGCTCGTGATTTAAATGAGAAAATTAGTGAGATTTTAAACCAGCTCAGAAGGCTTCTTAGCACAGACCCCTTAATAGATCAAGGCTGGAGAATCATGATCACCAGGGTTAACGATTTCATGGTGACAATAAAGATGAAACATTACCGATGGAGTGAAAGTGTAGAAGTTGACATTTTGCCAACATTTGATGCAGACGTCTATCGAAGTAAGTTAATAGAGCTCTAAAAAAAACAAAGAAAATGATGTTCTTGTCGGTTGGTGTCGTTGCTCCGGCATTAAATGCTTCCTCCCTCCCTCCCTCCCTCCCTCCCTCCCTCCCTCCCTCCC